ACTATAAAACTTGAAATTTAACTTTTCTCATTTTCTCATTGACTACCTAGTGCACTACAAAGGGTTAATAAAGAGACTAAAGTTGCCATGGCAGCACAAATTAACATAAGGTTTATATAATTTTGAAAAAAAAACTAAATGGCAGGCATGGGGGGTAATGATTACACAAAGTAATTAATTACAAGGTCAATTACAATTACTTGTAATGTGTAATTGAAAAATAACCAATTACAATTACTTGTAATTGTAATTGAAATTTTTCCAATTACTTGTAATGTGTAATTGACAAATAACTAATTACAATTATTTGTAATTGTTATTGAAGTTTGCCAATTACAATTACTTGTATTTGTAATTGAAATTTTCAATTACAATTACTTGTAATTACTTGTAATTGTAATTTAGGTATTACTAATTACAAATTACATATAATTATAAGGAACAAAATTCACAATTACAAGTAATTGTAATTGGAATTTCTTCAATTACAAGTAATTGTAATTGGCAAAAATTCAATTACAATTACATGTAATTGTAATTGGTAATGCTTCAATTACAATTACATGTAATTGTAATTGATAATGCTTCAATTACAATTACATGTAATTGTAATTGGTAATGCTTCAATTACAATTACTTCAAATGTAATTGTAATTGAAAATGTAGTCATTACCCCCCAAGCCTGCTAAATGGCTTAAATTAGTCATATTGACACATTCACAACTAAAGGGCATACATGTACATATCTCCTCCAACTGTAGCAGAAAAACCATGATTCTTGTTTGTACTATTGCATCAATAATGTGATGCAAATAGTTTTACACAATATTGTTCATGATGCAGTGTAAGAGGAATTTTAAGTAAATATAATAAAAATCTCAACATAATACAACAGTATGTGTAAATTTTTAACTCTATATACATGTTTAAACTTTCACATACAAAATACAGAGAATGAAAATATAAATAAATATATAACTACACTTGAATTGTATTCAACTGTAATGTTTGAAGGAGCATTTCAAAGATATCTAAATATCTATGTATGAACAGAGTTTTATATAGAAGCGGAAGTCTGTAAATTATTTTAAATATGAACAAGAACAATGTTTAGTTACAATACAATTTTAAATTAAAAACAAGTAAGAGTGTATATTCGGCTATACCGTATCTTATATACCCACCATCAAATTGGTATACTGGAGTTGTTTTACAAGTTATGAGCGTTAAAGTCATTTGCTGATGAGGGCCTTATATGGAGGGTAGGGTCAATTATGGTGCGATTCTTATAAAATTAAGCGGGGATATTTAAGATCCCATAATAACTTGTTAATGTAAAATTTCGTTTTTATACTGGCATTTTGAACGGAGTTATGAGCGTTGTAGTCATTTTCTGAAGGGGACCTTAATGGGGGGATAGGGTCAATTAGTGACCAATCCTCATAAAGTTAGACAGACTGATTTAGCTTTCCATTAGTCTTGTTCATGTCGAATTTAATGGCTATAATGGTTTTTTTAGTCGAGTTTTGGACGTTAAAGTGATATTCTGATGGAATCTTTATATGGGGCGATAGGGTCAATAATCGATTGATCCTCATAAAATTTTACAGAAATATTTTGGTTCCCATAAAACTTGCTTATGTCGAATTTTTTTGCTATACGAGCTTTTCTAAGCCAGTTATCTGCGTTTTAGTCATTTTCTTATATGAGGGCTAGGTCAAATCGTGGACCGATACCAAAGAGTGCCTAACAATGAAAAGTATTTGTGCAAAATTTCAGCTCTCTAGCTTCTTTGTTTAGGCGCTATCGTGTCTACAACAGATAGACGGACGGACAGACGGACGGGCATGGCTAGATCGTCTTAAAATTTAATAAGGATCCAGAATATATATACTTTTGTGGTTCTACAACCAATATTTCAAAGTGTTACAAACGGAATGATAAAATCAATATACCGCCCATCTTTTAGATGGTGGGTATAACAATAATTACTTTAAAATATTTTAAGAGCAACTTATAATCTGGATTTTGGATCATTCTTTAGAACAGTCTAAGGTCTGGGTTATTAACCAATCTATATTCTCATCTATAGATTGTAGTCTCGTGTATATATTATGCCCTAATCTCAACTTTAAAACAGATTTTAGTCTATACTATAAATCAGTCTATAACCTGAAGTACATATAAGTCTATAGTCTCAAATATAGATCAGTATAGAACGGGCTATAGATTAGTCGAAGCTTTTGACTACAGATAAACATATTATCTGGACATAAGATCGGTTTACAGTCTGCACAACGGAACACTCTATAGTCTGTACTGTAGTTCAGTACAAAGTCAGGAATATTGATTAGTCCAGAGTCCCCTCTATAATCAATCTATATTCTGAAATATAGATTAGTCTTTAAACTGGACCATAGATCACTCTTTTATTTGTATTGTAGATTACTCTATATTATGTATTATGGTTCACTTAATAATCTGTATATCTATTGTCGGCACTATATAGCAGTATATTGTTTTGACTATCTGTACTAAGGATTGGTCTTTAGCATTATCTATAGATCAGTCTAAATTAAACTACAGATGATAGTCTATAGTAGATCACTCTGATAGGATGACTGATCAGTCACTACTATAGATCACTCAATAATTTGTAGATTAGTCTATAGCCTAGAATAAAGATCACTGTAGATCATTGATCTATATAACAGATCAGTTACTATAATCTGCAATATAGATCAATCTATAATCTGTATTAAAGATCACTCAATATTCTGTAGTGTAGATCATTCTATTGTCGGTACCTTATATTAGTATATAGTCTGTATAATCGATCAGTCCGAACTATAAATCAGTCTATTATCTGGACTAAGGATCGATCTATAGCCTCATCTATAGATCTGTATCATACAGACAGTCTAGTTTTAATTATAGATTAGTTTATAGTCTCGAATACATATCACTGTAGATCAGGGTGACAGTTTAGTCTGCTAAATGGAGTGTACATAGATCAGGGTTTAATCTGATCTGTATTTCTAGATTAAAGATTATTTTATTTGTTTATTTATTTATTAATTTCGATTATAGATCACTGTAGGATAACGGATCATATAATCTGTATTGCGGATCAGTCTATTGTGGGGTCTATATACTAGTCTATAGACTGGACTATATATCAGGGTTTAGTCCGGGCTAAAAATCAGTCTATAATATGGACTAAAGTTCGATCTATAACCTTATCTATAAATCAGTTTAGTTTACGCTACCGATCAATCCAGTTAAGACTATAGATCAATCTATAGTATTGAATACAGATCAGTATACATAGATCAGTATTTAGTCTGTTCTAAAATTCTAGTCAATATAAAAGTTTACAGGCAGGTATTTAGTTCAATCCATAATCTGTTCTATAGATAAATCTTTATAGATCAGTCTATATACTGGATAATATAGTATCCCCTGCAGATAATTCTACAGTCCCGACAAAGAATCGATTAGTTTATTGTCTGAACTTTTTTTTATGTTTTTATTTTCTGGACTGTAGATCACTCAATGTCTTGACTATAGATCATATAATATTCGGAAGTATAGATTAGTATATGGACTCTGGACAGGACTGTAGATCAACCCATGTTCTCTACTGCATATCAGACCATATACTGGATTTTAAATTAGTGTTAAGTAACAATTTAAGATCTTCCAAAAATGTCTCTTAAACAGAGAATTTTTATTCTGGACTTATATATGGGTTTGTGAATATTGATTGAAATATATTTAATTTTTTAACCCTCCCTTCTATTTTAATATATATCTGCGTCTGTGCATCAGAGCATACACTTGTTTCCAAATACATATATGTATAACTATCTACTATAACCATGTATGACTGAGTTTTTAAGTGTTTGTTTTACTATTTTCATAGATTTTATATTTTCAATCACTGGAGGTAATTTTAATATCCATTCAATATGCTATCGAATACAAATACATTTATAGCTTTCACTCACACACTTTCAAATAAAGTTTAGTTTTTTCCGCAATACATCTCTCACTCTCTCTCTCCTTTGCTAACCCCCTTTTTTCCTCTCTTCGTTTTCCTATTACTCTAACAGTAACTGTTATATTCTCTAATGATAGTTTTGTGGCATTTTGTATTATGTGAAATATTGCTGTAGTAAAACCATTGTGCTGTCATTTGAGGATTTACCGACTTTTGCATAAGTGATTTTATTGGCATTTTGAGTTTGAATTGAGTTTGTTGCCGTCATCTACATATAGAAATATGTAGCAAACGAACGTACATACACATCTACTAACAGATACACTTTGATATTTATTTATATTTGTATTTGTTTATAATAAAATAGTTTTTTTTTGTTGCTGTTGTTATTATATTTTTACACAACTGCTATTTTGCATTTTAGTTTTTATATTTATTTATATATTTTTATTATTTTTTTTTATTATTGATTGGTGGTTACACAGTGAGTACTTTAACTTGTCCAAGTTTTAATAATGGATTTTTCTAGTACTTTGAAAACAAAATTGTTTATATGTATAAGTTTACATTTTATACAGGAACTTACATGAAAATAAAATATTTATATTTATTTTATGCCAAGTTATTGACCTCTTGTTAATGTTACAGCAACATCAATTAAGTGTTTTTAGTTATTTGACCAATAGGGAAACAAACTAATAGAAAAGTTTTCAAATTTTCGTAAATTATTATATAAGTTTATTTAAAGTTTCATTAAGGAAGTTTTAAGCAAAAAACTTAATAGAATTAAAAATAAAATAATGCAAATAACAAAGGTCATAATTTTGATTATAACTTTGTATGCATCACATTTTACTATTTTGAAAAATTTTTTTGAAAAAATATTAAAACATTTTTTGAAATAAAATCAATTTTTATTTCATATAAACACAATTTTATCTACAGTTTAAAAGTTTTTCAATTTAATAATTATTTTATATCAACTTTTTATTTACAGGCCACAAGCATTTACGATGGCAGTGGTATGCCGCCACCACAGTCACAATACCCACATGAAAGACGTAAGTATTTTTTTAATATTAACAATTAATAAGCAGAAATGCTGTAAATAGCAGAAATTCATTAAACGTTTATAAAATAAGTTTAATTTACCAAAACAGTTTCATAAAAAAATAAATGCTGGAATAGGTTAAAATGTATATGTTTAAAGCAAATTCACTTGAAAATTTTGTGCAACTGTTTCACCAGAACATTATTATTACCAAATTCTTTAAAAAAAAATTAATTAAATTTTTTTTAGAAAAGTTCACTAAAAATTGTTCAGGCAAAATATTTCACTTTTTTACAAAAATTTGTAATGTTATTTCAAAACAAAAGGTACTGAAAATTGTTACACCCTCCACCACAAACTATTGATATGATAGGGTCACAATCATTTACATCACATCAAAATTCTACATACCTACTAACTATATATGTACATGATAGGTTTGCTTAGAACCCACAAGATCAAAATTGTTAAAACAAATTAAAAAAAAAAAAAAAAAAAAAAATAACTGGTTTAAAGTAAATATTTCATATATTTTTTATGTTATAAACAGTATTTTTAAATCGACTGCAAATATATTGTTGTGCGTGATTATTTCAGAATTAAACACATCGATATTAATTCTTATAAATATCAGCACCAGGGTTCAAATATACAAAACGGTGCAAATTTAAAATCAGGAGTTCTGTGACTAGAACAGTTCTAGTAGTTCTAGCAGTAGTTCAGTTCTAGTTCAGTTCTAGTTCAGTAGTCAGTTCTAGTTCAGTTCTAGTTCAGTTCTAGTTCAGTTCTAGTTCAGTTCTAGTTCAGTTCTAGTTCAGTTCTAGTTCAGTTCTAGTTCAGTTCTAGTTCAGTTCTAGTTCAGTTCTAGTTCAGTTCTAGTTCAGTTCTAGTTCAGTTCTAGTTCAGTTCTAGTTCAGTTCTAGTTCAGTTCTAGTTCAGTTCTAGTTCAGTTCTAGTTCAGTTCTAGTTCAGTTCTAGTTCAGTTCTAGTTCAGTTCTAGTTCAGTTCTAGTTCAGTTCTAGTTCAGTTCTAGTTCAGTTCTAGTTCAGTTCTAGTTCAGTTCTAGTTCAGTTCTAGTTCAGTTCTAGTTCAGTTCTAGTTCAGTTCTAGTTCAGTTCTAGTTCAGTTCTAGTTCAGTTCTAGTTCAGTTCTAGTTCAGTTCTAGTTCAGTTCTAGTTCAGTTCTAGTTCAGTTCTAGTTCAGTTCTAGTTCAGTTCTAGTTCAGTTCTAGTTCAGTTCTAGTTCAGTTCTAGTTCAGTTCTAGTTCAGTTCTAGTTCAGTTCTAGTTCAGTTCTAGTTCAGTTCTAGTTCAGTTCTAGTTCAGTTCTAGTTCAGTTCTAGTTCAGTTCTAGTTCAGTTCTAGTTCAGTTCTAGTTCAGTTCTAGTTCAGTTCTAGTTCAGTTCTAGTTCAGTTCTAGTTCAGTTCTAGTTCAGTTCTAGTTCAGTTCTAGTTCAGTTCTAGTTCAGTTCTAGTTCAGTTCTAGTTCAGTTCTAGTTCAGTTCTAGTTCAGTTCTAGTTCAGTTCTAGTTCAGTTCTAGTTCAGTTCTAGTTCATTTCTACTTCAGATCTAATTTAGTTCTAGTTCAGTTCTAGTTCATTTCTACTTCAGATCTAATTTAGTTCAAGTTTACGCTAGTTCAGTTTTAGTTCAGTTCTAGTTTTAGTAGGTATGATACATCAGATCCAAAGTAATATGTTATTGGCAATTCCCCTGATTCCAAATTTTTACTGAACCCTTTTCCAGTAAATTTATTTACATTCTAGGACAGCATTTATAACGATTATATGTTATTGCTATGATTTGCATTTTGTAAACACATACATTGAATAAAATTTAGTGATATTACATACAGAGATAATATGTACATTGTATATACACACTATTATAACAAAAAACGTAATTATTTTGTGTGTATAGTTGAAAAATTGCTATGAAATATTCCAAAGCAAAAAAAATCCATAAACTTGCAACGCAATGTATAGATTTGCATACAAATAAACATGCAAACGATGTATGAGGAGTGTTAGTAAGTATCTAGGTAAATGTACATAAAGATGACCCTTTAAAGTTTTAAAATGAGGAAAAAATATATTTTCATTTGTGCTAGGCACACTCTGTGGGGACTTTTGGAATTTAGTTCTGAGTGGGGTTGGATGGGAATGTGTTATCTTTAAGTATACAAAAACTGTTTGGTCTTTTATAAAAACATTCATTTTGTTTTTGTAAAAAACTTGCAAATGACATGTCATTGATGTGTCACAGCAATAATTGTTTGTTGAAAATATCCTGGTTAATACCTCAGGGGTTTGCTTTGTAAGTTTTAAGAAATAAATTAATCGTTTTTTCTGTGAGTTTTTTATTGTGTTTGATAATTATTTGTTAGATAGTTTATTTGTACTAGCCAACACCTATTTAGGTTAGGAAGTTATTAAAGAATTTGTAGTAAAGGGAGTGAAAATTAAAGAAAATCGATAATAAGTTATCAAATGTGTTTAAATGGTCTTTTAGTTTTAATTGATGTATTCTTGAAGATTTTATTTTGTTATGTTAAAAGCTTTTCCTATTTCAAAATTGATTCAATATATTTTTCTGTTCTTTTTTTAGCATATCGTACCATCAAAGGCGAGAAAGGTGAACGTGGCCCTAAAGGTCCTCCTGGTGATAGTATACGTGGTCCTCCTGGACCACCAGGTCCTGCTGGTCCTAAAGGTGATCCAGGTTCATTTCCTCCCTTTATTGATTTTGCTAGCAATCCTGAGGCGGTAAGTAAAAATTTTGACTTACTTTTACATAAATTTAAGATTTTTTTATAAAATTTTTGTTAAAATAAATTGGTTTTCTGATATATTCCTCAAGAAAAGAAATTCAAAATCAATTATAATTGATTATTGATTTCATATTTTAAATTTCATTGCAAATGTCCTAATCAAATTAGTTCGGTTGCGTATACGTTATATTTTTAAGATATATGTTAATCATACTCACTTTTCATATAGACAAGAGTAAGAGAATTGATTTAGAAACAAGGCACAACTTGTTGCCAAACTGCAGATAGAAAAATATTAAATTTATAAATTTAAACTTTTGTTCTGTTGAACTTCAACATTTTCAAAGGGTTCGGTTGCGTATACTCAATGTATATATATTAAATATTTATTAATCATACTTCCAGTCTGTACAAACTTATTAGTTATAAAAGATAACATATTTGCCACATTTTTAAATTATAATTAACTAATTCATTCCAAACATGAAATTTCGCTTAAAATTAAAATATTTCCTCTGTATTAACACATATTTCATCAATATTTTTCTATGTAATTTACCTTTAAATCTATAAAATAAATTTTAAAATTAAATAAATCTCTGTATATTTACAACACAACAAAACACTCAACTAATATAGATCAATTAAAGTTTACTAAACAATTGTCGAACTAAAATTGAAATACAACATAATAAAATAGTTTTTGAAAATAAAATGAAACATGAACGGATATTTGTAAAATCATAAATGAATTACAAACAGCTTAAACTAAATACTATAAATATACACACATGCATATACAAAACATTCCAATTCTGTTTAATTTACAAACTAACAAAAAACAGATACATTAACAAAGGGATTTCGTACATACTTACTACATACAACAAAAATTTTAATTTCGAAAATTGATTTATTTTATAATTCACATATAAAACATAGCAAAAAAGTTAATTTTCAATTATAAATGAAATAACATATAATAATAAAGAGAGCATATAACAAATGCACACCCATATTTAATGTATTTGTAAAACATTTTCAACAACAAATATTAAAAACCAACAAAAATACAGAGAAAAACTAAAATTATTTATACGTTAAATTAATGCAATCAATATATACAATTTAGTCTTTTCTCCTAACTCTTACTCCTCTCACAAACAACTCTTCAGTTTCAACTAAAGTAAGAGTGTGTGTGTGTATTTATTTCATTTCCGCTTGGTGAAACTAAAATTCTATTAAATTTGTTTATTGTATTAGTGATGATGTTATTAAAATGCAACAAACACTAAAACATAAATACCAACAACAATCTATCTGTGTCTGTAAATACAAATTTAGTTTTTTAACTCGGGAAAAATAAAACTATAAATGGGAATTTAGCGAAAAACAAATATAATACAACCATATAATTTAAACATACTTTTGTTAAATATATAGTTATGTAGAGACATACATATTAATATATACACCCTCACAATAACATATTTCTAATCAGGTGTTTATGTATGTGTGTTTGTTTTCGTGGAATTCCAGCGGGTGCATTGTTAGTATTAGTTAGAGAAAAGTGTTGGTAATTTATAGAGCTTACATGATTTTTTATAGTTGTAGGAAAGTTGTTGTGCACTATGGGTAAATATAGAGAAAATTACATAGACTAGACATAGACTAGACATAGACTAGACATAGACTAGACATAGACTAGACATAGACTAGACATAGACTAGACATAGACTAGACATAGACTAGACATAGACTAGACATAGACTAGACATAGACTAGACATAGACTAGACATAGACTAGACATAGACTAGACATAGACTAGACATAGACTAGACATAGACTAGACATAGACTAGACATAGACTAGACATAGACTAGACATAGACTAGACATAGACTAGACATAGACTAGACATAGACTAGACATAGACTAGACATAGACTAGACATAGACTAGACATAGACTAGACATAGACTAGACATAGACTAGACATAGACTAGACATAGACTAGACATAGACTAGACATAGACTAGACATAGACTAGACATAGACTAGACATAGACTAGACATAGACTAGACATAGACTAGACATAGACTAGACATAGACTAGACATAGACTAGACATAGACTAGACATAGACTAGACATAGACTAGACATAGACTAGACATAGACTAGACATAGACTAGACATAGACTAGACATAGACTAGACATAGACTAGACATAGACTAGACATAGACTAGACATAGACTAGACATAGACTAGACATAGACTAGACATAGACTAGACATAGACTAGACATAGACTAGACATAGACTAGACATAGACTAGACATAGACTAGACATAGACTAGACATAGACTAGACATAGACTAGACATAGACTAGACATAGACTAGACATAGACTAGACATAGACTAGACATAGACTAGACATAGACTACATAGACTATACTAGACTAGACATAGACTAGACATAGACTAGACATAGACTAGACATAGACTAGACATAGACTAGACATAGACTAGACATAGACTAGACATAGACTAGACATAGACTAGACATAGACTAGACATAGACTAGACATAGACTAGACATAGACTAGACATAGACTAGACATAGACTAGACATAGACTAGACATAGACTAGACATAGACTAGACATAGACTAGACATAGACTAGACATAGACTAGACATAGACTAGACATAGACTAGACATAGACTAGACATAGACTAGACATAGACTAGACATAGACTAGACATAGACTAGACATAGACTAGACATAGACTAGACATAGACTAGACATAGACTAGACATAGACTAGACATAGACTAGACATAGACTAGACATAGACTAGACATAGACTAGACATAGACTAGACATAGACTAGACATAGACTAGACATAGACTAGACATAGACTAGACATAGACTAGACATAGACTAGACATAGACTAGACATAGACTAGACATAGACTAGACATAGACTAGACATAGACTAGACATAGACTAGACATAGACTAGACATAGACTAGACATAGACTAGACATAGACTAGACATAGACTAGACATAGACTAGACATAGACTAGACATAGACTAGACATAGACTAGACATAGACTAGACATAGACTAGACATAGACTAGACATAGACTAGACATAGACTAGACATAGACTAGACATAGACTAGACATAGACTAGACATAGACTAGACATAGACTAGACATAGACTAGACATAGACTAGACATAGACTAGACATAGACTAGACTAGACTAGACTAGACATAGACTAGACATAGACTAGACATAGACTATACAGACTAGACATAGACTAGACATAGACAGACATAGACTAGACATAGACTAGACATAGACTAGACATAGACTAGACATAGACTAGACATAGACTAGACATAGACTAGACATAGACTAGACATAAGCCTCTGTATACTTGTGGTATTAGTGCCATGGCATAAATAAATACAATTTCCAAACCATAGTGCACTACCAGCGGATCGCATTAAATGTATGTATGTGGGTTTGTGTCAGTATATACATACATATGTACTTATGTATGTTTTGGGTAAACACATGTATTGTTGACGCGTTTAGACAGACATATGGCCGGAAGCAAATACCTGATTTCCCCAGATAACAAGTGTAAGAACTAACGGATTTTCACTAACGTTATTTATACTTACATACCAACATTTATATGTATCAGAATTAATGTTTTAGTAGTTTTTATATATTATTTTCATGTCGCCAACTATGATGCTAAAGTACTACCAATAGCAGTAGTAACAGCTACAGCAAATAGCGACAACAACCGTTACAACACATCAGTTTTAAATTATTGTTTGTTATTTATTGTTTAGTTTGTTTTGTGCAAGTGGTTTATGCTTGTGTTGTTGTATATGGGAATATGTGCAACCTACAGAGTTAAAATGGTTTGAAGTCTATAGTTTGAAGAGCTAATGTTTACTTTAACAAACAAACTAGAAATAGTAGTACCATAAACTGTAGTTTTGTAGTGTTGTTGTTGCTGCGTTATACTAGTTGTTGCTGCTGCTGCTGCTACTACTGTTGTTTATACTCCTGTTGTGTTTCAGTATAAATACGTACAAATGATGCTTAACATAACAAGGTGCACATACACATAAATACGACCATTTATAGTAGATGAATTGTTAAATTCACATACAATTTATGTATATGTTAGAATGTACATATGTTTATGTATTTGTGTATTTGTTCGTACAAATACATTTAAAACCATGTTTATGTGCTGTTGTGTGTTTATATTCACTATAATATGTTAGGATTATAGAGCAATTTATTCAAGTGGGCTTAAGGACACACACACTTAAGTACATACATATATCTATATGTATACTGAATATATATACATAGGTGTAGTACTTTAGAGGTAGGTTAGTTAGTTTGTGGTAGTACGTAGGTACTGCAACTAACTACCAACACATGTGGAGTGTAAATCATTATATGTATATGTTTGTGTGCTGTTTATATGTGTATGCATTTGTAATCGTGTTTAGGTCAGCATTTATTCATTTATTTATTTTTATGTTTTGTATTTACGTATGGAGATTTCATATTTTTTGAATAATTAGGGATTCCCTAACCCGAATCGTTAGAGGTGGTAAATAAGCTGGTCCAAACAGTTAAATCGACATTAATGTCATATATCAACGGCCTTATGGAGATAGTGCGTTTTTGTTGGAACAAAAAGTATTCCAAATTACAAACTGCTGAAATATGCACTCAACATCATAGGGAACTTGTACTCAATGCAACAGATCCATTTGAAAATGATTGAAATGATAATGATCAGTTTGAAATGGAATCGTATTGTTGCCAGAAAATCGCGTTTTCACTAAAAAATGGGTTTCATGTGGTATTTTCTCCAGAATCTAAAATTCTCTAGAAAATTTTCACTTGAAAAACTCCATATCCATCTAATGGAATCATCCATATTCTACTATTTTTTAAAACAACCTGATTTCTTTAGTTAGTTTGTTGTATTTGAAACATACATACATACTTTTTTCAATACAATATTGTACGTTTTTTTCTGCACATTTCTAAAACATTTCATTAACACGTTTACATTACTAACAACACACATCGTAACGCTGACACCCAATTTATAGAGGATTTATAAAAGCAAATTACCACAGCTTTAGCTAGATTTACTAAGGGAACTAGGTGCGAGGCGTGTATTTACAACTTAAAACCAAAATCCTGAAACATAAATTTTTATTAAAGCAGCTATTTATTAGTGTATGTAGTAACAACAACAACGACATGACAATGTATTTATTTAATATTAATGAATTGATGTTTAGAAAACGATTTTAGACTACAGCGATAATTACAATAGATGGCAGGCAGGCAGGCTAACTAAACCAACAAGCAGAGTTACTTCATGCAGTTTTTACAACAGGCATGACATGAATAAATAAAATATTTATTTAAAAAAAGGCACAATTTATATTTTAAAATTATGTTTAAATTTAAAACATCAATTACAACACGTAGTTGTTTAGTAACAATTAAATTTAAATTTATTTTTAGCAGCAGGCTTTAGAAAATATTGCCTTTCTGCTTATTGTTTAAGTAATTTTCCCCAAAATTAATTATAAAATTTTAGGAAAATGTTTTTATCAAAAAAATTTTAAATGATTTTCAATAATTTATTTTTAATTATTATTTGGAAATTAAACAAAACATCTACGAACCTCAGCTTAATTACATTTTCCATTAGTAGTGGTAATGTGATTGCTATATGCTAAAATTAGCACTTCCGTTCCATGAAATGTAAATGTTATACATTTTTGTCTCTTCTATGTTTTCCAAAAGTGTCATTTTGCTTTTTTTTTTTGTTGTTGCTGTTTTATTTTGTTTAAATTTAACAAAATAAGAGAAAAAATGTGTCATGTCTAAAATTGTTTTGTAAAAGTTTTTGAAAAATAAATAGACTAATAGACTGAAAGGATGTAGTGTGTGGCTTTACTAATTGAAGTTAAAAAACATAAAGTGGTTTACGAATGTTTTTAATTTTTGGTTTTGTTTGTGAATAAAAAACAAACTTCAAATGTCATTCTTGTTTGATGTCAATGTGTTTTTTTAATACTTCTGTGTTCATTTAGTTTTGATATATGGAAATAATTATCTGACAAATGTTTAAATAACATTTCGAAATTATACCATGGCTGAAGTAATCTGTTCAAATTTTGTTTATAAATATGCCTCAAAATTTTTTTTAATAAATTGTTTGGTTTTACCATGTTTAGTTTTTCCTAAAATTTGTAATGGTTTTACATGTTGTTGGTAAAGTTTGAAATTTGTAAATTTCTCTATATATAGAAAGTAATTTTGAAACAGAAAAATAGTTCAGCAGAATATAGAATTTCGCCAGATATCGATTAAGCCCCTAACTAACTAACTAACTAACTAACTACTAACTAATAACTAACTAACTAACTAACTAACTAACTAACTAACTAACTAACTAACTAACTAACTAAATAACTAACAACTAACTAAAACTAACTAACTATAACTAACTAACTAACCTAACTAACTAACTAACTAACTAACTACTAACAACTAACTAACTAACTAACTAACTAACTACTAACTAACTAAACTAACTAACTAACTAACTAACTAACTACTACTAACTAACAACTAACTAACTAACTAACTACCTAACTACTAACTAACTAAAACTAACTACCTACCTAACTAACTAACTACTAACTAACTAACTAACTAAACTAACTAACTAACTAACTAACTAACTACTAACTAACTAACTAACTAACTAACTAACTAACTAACTAACTAACTAACTAACTAAACTACTAACTACCTACCTAACTAACTAACTAACTAACTAACTAACTAACTAAACTAACTAACTAACTAAACTAATTAACTAACTAACTAACCAACTATAATTTCAAGATAAATGCCTGATTATGAAAAACAAAACACATTTATTATTCGTAACTGGTGTAGGTCCATGAGGTATGCCACGCCCGTCTGTATTCTCATACTTGTTTTGTGATAAATTTTAAAGTACAATTCTCGACCAAAAAAGTACCAAAATATGCATTTCTTATTAATTATCATTTCATCAGAATTTCATCAGAACTGTACATCTTTATAATATTGAAAAGTACAATTTGAAGAACAAAAATTTTACCTAAATAGAACTCTTACTCAATGATGGCCATTTGGTTTCATTTTGGTGTCATATTAAAAGAAAATCAAAAAGTACCATTTGAACGAAAAAGTACCAACAAGTTCTCTTAGAGATTCTTATTTGACCCTTTTAGGTTTCTAGAAAATCAAAATATTTTTACCATGTTCAAGAATATCCATTACGTACCATCTGAATAACGAAAAAGTACCATATAATTTCATCTTTATGATTCTATTTAATCAAACCATGTACATTAAACATTCATATATTTTGTTGAAATTCGAAAAATTTTGATTCAAGGATTAAATTATTATAGTCTGTTGAAAGTACTATGAAAAAAGTACCACTTCCCCTTTACACATAGGAACAGACTTATTCGAGGATTTGATTTTTAAAGTAAATTAATTTTTAAATTTTTATAACAATGATAAAAGTTAAACGATACCAATCTGTTAAAAAAAAATATATTTTGAAAAAGTACCAAACTTTCTAGGCCTTAGCAACAGAATTACAAATGACACTGTAGCTAAATGAATTATTTTTAAAATTTGTGTCAAAACATTTTCCTTAAATGTCAAAATTTCTTTACCCAATATATAATTATATTGTTATGATTACTACTTTAAAAATAGAAGGTACTAAAAAGGTACCCAAATACCGGTATTAACCCTTTTATTAAATTAACTTTTATTACAATTTTTTGTTCTTCTTTTCATTTACAGAAATACACTGGCAATGTACATGCAATGCGTCTG